GATGCTGACAAATTTATTTTTTATTTCTATTTAATATTAAAAATTAACGAAATATTAATATGTTGATGACTTCAGAAATTATAATCGGCCTGGGTGAATCAGTCTAAGCCGAATATGTTCAATTTTACTGACAATAAACTAAAGCTTTCGATGAGAAAGCATTAGATGAGTGAAAAAATGCCAACTGTAGCTAGAAGGCCCCCACATTGGCAGATTTTCGACGCCTGTTAAATAGATGGACCAAAGCCAATCATTAGTTTTTAGTTTTTTCGAAAAATCCTGTGTAATTTCTTGTGTATTTTCATCAAGAACGGCGTGCAGCATGCGAAACACTTAATATAAGACTATAATAAATGTGGATTTTATGTTTATTGTAAGGCATTTTGCCAACGTACACCTCTTCATAAAATATACGAAAACACTAAATAAAATAATGTGTCTGAAATACAATTAAAAATATACGAGTTACGAGAAAGAAGTGTAGCGTATTAACAAGTATTGTGTGATATGGAGAAGAAAATCGAATGGAGTTATCACCTCTAGGCTTCTAAAAACTCTCTACTTGCCTGCCTTCTTGAAAGTAATGTGTAATAATTATTAGAAAGATACTATGGAACATGAACCGAATAACATTCCCTTTCGACCGAATTTGGCCCGTTCTTTCCACTTTTTGTCACAACACTTCAGAGGTGATGGCGTAGGAGGAATTTGGGAGTCACTACGGTAGGAAGTGGTTGCGACCCTATTATTGGACTGTTCAAAACATTATCTCCAATCTGAAATTCAAAATGCATTTTGGCCACTTTTTGCATCTTCCGTACAACCGTGCGGGGCCGCGAGGGGCGTGGCGGGGTGGGGCGGGGCGGCTCTCGTCGCACGAGAATGCCGAGGCGTCGAGAGCGCCGGCTCCGGCGGAATGCTGCGAAGGGGAGAGGGGGGCCGGAAGGAGGGGGGGGGGATTAATCCAAGTGCGGCGGGAGCGGTTAATGCCGCGGAGGCGGCGGTGGACACGGCGGGTGGAGTGGGTGGTGGCAGGGGTGGAGGAGTTTGGGGGCGACGGTGGGGGAAGAGGCGGGGCAGGCGGTGGAAGTGGTGGCCGGGCGTGGAAGGGAGGAAACAGCTAAGGCGTGGCGGTGGATGGTAGAGGAGGTGGGGGATGGGGGCGGCAATGGCGAGGCGGTGGAAGCGTTGCGGAGGAAGAGATGGCAGAGCGGGGCGGGGGGTCGGAGGCTGGACGGCGGGCAGGGGAAGAGCCGGGGCGGGGCGAGGAGGCGGAGGCAGCGGGCGCCAGGCGAAGCACGACGGCAGCGTCAGCATGCGGCGCGAGCGGTGTTGCGAGGTTGCCTGCGGCCGGCGGGAGGGGGAGTGCATAGGGGCGAGGGAGGGGGAAGGCCCGTCTGATTAATGGACGCGGAGAGCAGAGCGGCGGCGCTAACGGGAGGTGCTGGAAACGGGAGCTGCTGTTGCTGCCACGGCCACAGCCCGGGTCACGCACTGTGTGACAGCCTCGCCGCGCCCGCCCGGCCACGCCCCCTTCCCCGTCCACTCCAGAGCGCGGCCGCTTCGGTTCTTTTTCGAGCCCTTTCTCGCCCCTTTTTACATCTTCCGCTTGCTCGTGGCAGTGTTGTATCGTTTCTTTATACGTCTCTCTCATCCTTCAGTATTCTCTACTGATGTGTTCTGTCTTCTCTTCGTTCCTTCTTTTTTGCCTTACATTCCTCTTCTTTAAGTCATCTCATGTCTTCGACAAAGTCTAACGTGATGTGCAACACCGTGCGTTAACCCTGACATCGTATTCTTTTCGTGGCATTTTTATAATTTACCGCCTGCTCGAAACGTTCTATTTCTATTTTTATTTCTTAATTGATTCGTTTTTACTGTTATTGTTCTCCTGTTCGTTCCACAATTTCCATTCACGTGATCTTTCTACATACTCCAATCACCTTTTCATTCTTTTCTCAGTTTCTTATACTTTCGTGCTATATATTTATATTTTTTTTCTTCTTTCACGCTTCATATTTCTCTCGCCATGTCATTCTCAACACACACTTTCGCGTGCAGCGTTGCGCATGAGCCCCGGCTTCCCTCCGTTTTTTCTAATTCTCCCTTCGTGTTTTATTTTTCTTTATTATTTTATTTTCCCTCGATACCGAGTCGTCTCATTTCTTGTTCCTTAGTTTCTTGTGGGCATGTTTGTTTTGTTCTATTTTACCATCTTATCTTCCTTTTCTACTCGCAGTCTATCATTCTTCTATTACTTCATTTATTTTTCTGCTGCATGTCTTTTACATTTTAGCATTTTCTTTGCATGATACAATCGGGCTATGTCTTCTCACGGGGCCAAAAGTGACCAGGGATGAACAGAGAAATGAGTGAGGGAAAACTGACCGCAGGATACAATCGGGCCATGCCGGGTAGCCAAAAGATTCCACGAATTACAAGAGAAATGGACGAGGGATAACTGACCGTAGGCTGCAATGGGGCGCTTCCGTTTCAAACCCGTCCCCCCCTCCCCCCGCCTCCACATTTCTTGCCACCCGCGTCCGTCATAACCACGTGTCGTCTGCCATTCCCTGGGTCTTGCGCTTGTCTCTTCCGAGTCCACTCACGGGCGCTGTCTCCCCTACACCGCATCGCACTCACCTCTGGCTTTGCCGCCGCCACCGCCCCCGTCCCCGCCCCACACCTCGCTGCCCGCACGTCTCCTGGGCCCCAGCCTGCGGGGCGCACGGTGGGGCACAACGGCCAAAGCGAGGACGAAACGTCGCAAATACGGAACCGATGAACCCCGGTAATCCGAACTAGTTTGGGGGGGGGGTCTGTTCAGATTCGGAAATGTTCGGGTTACCCGAAAAAGTGTACCGTACGTTTTTATAGGATTAGCGGGCAGGCAGAATAATATAGTGTGGGATGTGAGAAAATGGCTACGTAACGTAGCGTAGCGATCGCATCATCACATTGCATCCTCAAGTAGATTCAGTTCCTTACGGCAAAAAGAAGATTACCGATTTTACAAGTTACTTTAAGTGAAAATTAGTGCTACATAAACATGTGATATACGCCGTAGTTATCTGTGCAATAAACGCTACATTTCGACAACTTGTGTTTCAGTAATTAATTGTTCGGTTCTGCACTAATTATAAAATCCTTTCTTTACAATAAAAATAATCATTATATTTATTTTGTTAACTTTGCCTTCATCCCGAATTTTGCTCGGATTATCCGAAGTTTCGAATTCGAATTATCGAGGTTCTACTGTATTTTCGGATATTTTGTCTGTGAAAATCGGTAGGACTTGCCTACCGATTGGCAGGGTTAAGACGGGGAGAGTAGGTGGAGCGAAGCGTGGAGGGGAGTGGCGGAGAGTGACGGGTTTGGCAAAGAGGAACCGGACGGTTTGTGGCCGGGCGGAGTGGGCTGTGGCTGGGATGTAAATAAAAAAAACTTTTATTTCATTTTACAGTTCAAATATTATCAGACTCGAACGCACGATTTTTCTTGGAGAGGGAGGGGAGCGAGAGATGGAAAGGGGGAAGTGAGTCTAACCGACTTGATGATTTCTTATAACCTTTTTATTTATTTATGCCAAAAAAATATTTGTTGAGTGTTAGTATTTATAACAAATATTTAATGACGTTCGTTAGTATAGAAAATTAGTTAAACCGATATTTTTCAGTATGCATCATTGACTTATGTGGGAAAGAGCAGGTGAAGCCCCAAGAGGCCCCTTCCCTCCTTGGCTGCTATACTGCGTACAAGACAATGCTTTCCCAATCTAATGACTGTGATCAATAAATGCCCGGACAAAGGGAGGGTACCGCACTGAACTAATCAGGTAACTCCAAATAGTATCTAATATACAGTCTATAGAATTAATTTGAAGAAGTAATTTTATTTTTCTGCTCGCGAATAGACCTACTTGGCGTGTATGCACCCCGCATTTACCGTGGCTCAGCAACATTACTTCGGTAGATGGTGCATATGCTTTATCATGGGATTAGGATTTAGCTAGATCCGAGTTTTATTCCCCAGGGTGGTTAGCCCTGGGGATGTAGAAGATGAAATGATAGTGAGGGCTTAAAGGACGACACAGACATTCACAACGCAACCATGCCCGAAGCGGGACTCGAAGCCGCGATCTTCTGGCCCGAAGCCGCTACGGCACTACTGCCTTAGCGTTCTCGGCCACCTGATCGGCAAAGAAGTAACTATTTGCCTTTGAAATTCGCGTCGTTCGGTGGCACTAGGCTCGGCCGGGCGGGCGGGCGGGAGAGAGGCCGGCGCGGGCGGCGCGTGCTGAATCCGCTCATTTGCGTCCCTTTCGCGTGGAGGTAGCGCCGGCGGTTTTCGGACGACAGCGCCCCCCTCGAGATTTATGTCAGGATTTCCGACGCGCACGCCACGCGCTCTCGCGGCCGCCGCCGCCGCCGCCCCCGCCTTCGGCGCTGACCTCGCGGGCGGAGGGCGAGACGCGGTCGCGCCCAGAGCCACCGGGGCCGGTCCAGAACGTAACAGTTCAAGGAACGGGAAACTTCAGCCCGCCTTCTGTCACTATGTTTTAATGCTGGACTAAAACAAATAACTTGGAAATGTACATTAATAATACATTACTCTTCTTGAGTGTAATACGATCAGTATGTCGTAATAGTTTTGAGTAAATTGGGTAGTTAAGAAAATGGCTCGGACGAAGGCACAATGACCATCAAATTCCATCCAGCAACCCACTGCTCAATCCGTCACTTACTGTCTAGATTTGAATTAGGCACTGCTGGTTCATTCTCAACTTGTTTAGAAATGAAATTTGTTTACGTTTTCTTTATCACAACGGAGGGCCGCGCTGTAGCATGACCCGCAGGGCCCACGCCGACGTATGCCGGTTATGACGGTGTGAAATAGGATAGGAAATATTTCCTCACCAGATTGGATTTATAGATCGATTAGTGTTTCCGGGAGCATCAACACCATCAAAGGTCATTACTCCCGTAAATGTAGTGCATGTTTTATCGCGGGAGGTGGCGGGTATCTTCCCCCCTGGATGGCGAGATCCGGTTCCGAGCTCCACGTCGGCTTTCCCCAACCAGATATCTGTCTCATAGGGGCACTGCTCCTGCCGGGTACATACTGTAAACTTCTGACTGGTCTCCCGACATATGTGGTAGATTAGTGCATTTAAAACTGTATGCAAATAAGGGGTCAAGATAAAACAAATATCCTCCTCCCCACAGAAACTGGATTAGACCAGCTATCTCGCTCGTGTCGAAAATCTCGCCTCTGAGGAGACTCTAGAACCTCCCGGTCAGAGGCACTGCATTGCCATGAGTAGCGCACCATGTTTTCGCGAGTCCGCAGCTAAAGCGTCGTAGTCCTAGAATCGAGTTGGAACGCTGGCGTACATGCGGAATTAAGTAGTTGGATCTGATGATGCAGCTACCAGGACGAGAGTCCCAATGGCGGGTTGCTCTAGGAAGTTGTTTCTGTAGTTCCCTCTGTCCAAGTCCAAGCGAATGCCCGAACAGTGTCTTCTATATTGAGTCGTGATCTGCCCACAAGCCTCAATCTCTATTTCGTCTCCCTCCCAGCCTTAGGGCCTGGTGATGGGCTAATGCCAATCTTCGAATGGCCCAATCCACTTGGAAATTCTCCAGAAATACAGGTGTCATCCCATACCTGGAGTGGCGTCTTCTTCATCCTGTCTCACATGTCTCTTATTCTCCTTCTGAAAATCGTGAGGCCTTGAAGTTAGAAATTTATTTCGCAAGGAAAGAAATCATTAGTTGATGATGCCGTCTGAATCTTACAACACATACTCCTGGCATTCTCTGAAAATTTTCCGCATACGCAAATAAATATATTTTTTCTCTGAAGAGAATTCACTTCGCTCGTTCTTTTGTCTAACCGGGGCATGAAATCGATGCCACGTCGTTTTGAAATGGGGCTTTGATTCCAGTCGAAGAGGTCGAGAGGCGAATTGTGTGTGGTGGAGGTTTTCCGTTTCCTGTAGCTGATTGTTGTTGACTTCCATTTTCCGATACAATGGGATTCTGTTTCAGCAGACGACCGGCAGGCGGAGGCAAACATTTTTATGCAGAGGTCGGCCACGTCCACACACGCATGAGTGAAATAAACGGAATAAAACAGAGTGCAGTCGACTCCGGTTGACTCATTGGAATGGAAAACAACAAAAAGAAGTTAGTTTCTCAAACTAATGTTACGTAAAATTTATGAAAGGAAACAAGTGCTTGAGTACTGAAATAATACACGAAGAAAAAATAACTTATATACCCTAACGTTTCCAAACAGTGAATTAATAGGACTATTCCTATGTGAACTAGAAAGGAACACAAACTATTGTTATTACACCATTAGTTGGTAATCCGATAGACCGAACGTTCAATGAGAACGAACAAAATTGACAAAGTACGGGAGGCAGAAACGTCGAATCTTCCGTCCCTTCTGCATCGCCAAGGAAATGGCGCCATACGCCAAGGTCGTCGAGACGGTGGGGAGGCAAGGGGTGGGAGGGGGGACCGGAACTCCGCGGGCGACTGACCGGGTCACTGGGCGATACCCCGCTCGCCCGACCGCCTCGCCCCCTCCCCTCCCGCCCCCGCGCGGTTGCTGGCGGCGCGCCACGGCCACCGCCCCTTCCGCCTCCGAGCCGGCGCCTACGCCTCCTCCTACTCTTGTCCCCGCCTCCTCCAACTGTTCGTCTTACACCTTCCCTTCTTCTTTTCCTTTTCTTCTCTTCTTCCAGCCCTTTTCTTCTTCCTCTTCTCCCTTTTCCTCCCCTTTTAACCCTTTTTTCCCTTCTCTTCATCCTCCTTCTCCTCCCTTTCCCCCTCATTCTAACCCTTTTCTTCCTCCCTTTTCCTTGTCCTCCCTTTTTCCTCTCCTTCCACATTTTCCTTCCTCTTCCTTCAAAATGTTTCCCTCCTCCTCCTGCTTGTGCTCTTCCTTGTTTCCTCCACCTCTTCCTTGTTCACCTGCACTTTCAAGATCTCCATCTCGTTCTGCAGATTCTACACTTCTTCCTGCCGCTCGTCTTCGTCCTCGTGTTTTACCTATCCTCTTCTTCCTGCTCTTGTTCCTTCTGTTTGTCACTGCCCACTGGCTTGTTCCCCCTCCCCCTACTCCTTTGCTGCCACCGCTCGTCCGGGAACCGAACTGGGTCGTTTCGGAGTTGCCTCTGCCGCCGCCGCCGCTCCGGCCGCAGCACTTTTCTTGCAGAAATTTATGTTCGACCCGACCCGTCCCGTCCCGTTCCGCGCCGTGCCAACCCGGCGCCTCCCCCTCCCCCCTCCCCCCCGCCTGCGTCGTCTCTGGGACACTACGACGCGGCGCCCACGTCCCTCTACGGTCTGCGGATGGCCGCCCCGCGTGACGGCTCTCTCCGCGCGCGCCGCTTGAACCGCGTCGCAGATGCAGTTCGGATTTGATGCTCGCCACACGCTCGACTGCGTTTTGCACAGATGCCCGAAACTTCCTAACGATCTCTTTTTTAGAGTGACGACGAAAACGCTGAATGCAAAGAAAGTTTTGTATGATTATGTGATATTTACGTATGTCTGGAAGTCAATGTATTTGAAAATAGCAACATTTTGTTGATATGATTTCTCAGCACAACTACTTTCTCGATTAAAAGCATATTTATCACGTTTGAACATTTAATTTGTGGCAAGTTAGGAACTTGTGAAAAAATATATTAGTATTTGACAAACATTCATTTCAAATTATTTCCATCACCACTCATAAAACTTATTTTAATTTCTCACAATATTTTCAATTACTGAATTCGACAGAAGTGAGAAAAATGAGGCAGTTTTCCCTTTCGTAACCTCGTTAATTTATGCCACTCCACATCAATTCTCTTTTTTCATCTATACCTATTGTTAGCGAACGGCCTCTCTGAACTCCTAATTCGAGCCAACTGAATTTTATTCTTTATCCATACCCTATTGTTCTTTACATCGTCTCTTATCTGTCTTCCAAAAAGCAGTTTTCGTTAAATACCTCGGGCCTCTGATAAATCGTTTCAAAATCTGCTAAATCACATTTAGTCTTGCATCACATGTTTTAGCGAATCCCGAGGTGAAAATAAAGTAAATTAAATTCTATCACAACGCATCTACGAGAAACTTAATTCCCTAAACTCTGTAAGAAGTACACAAAGCGATTATAAAACAATGCTTAGAGAGTATTGTATTGGTGGAACGTGTTTATTATTAATAGTTTTAGAAAGTATTATCATTTACTTTGATATGTCAAACAATATAAATTTATTAATGTTGATAGAATCAATGTTAGAGACTTTTTTAACTTTACTGTCCAATTACATCTGTACAACACATTTCGAAAACTTTTGATATTTTTGTTGATAATAATTACCTTTTGATAAATGTGGCCTTTTGAATGGGTAGATGTGGTATGTGAGTGCAATATACATCGAATGAGTCACTAGTTTGAAGATATTCTAAATAGGTATCGATTAAAAAGGGAAAACTGTTAGACATAATACGTCTTCTTTAAATACATCTCTTTAAAGTTGTTATTGATAAGCGTATTAGATAGTTGTTATTTGTTGTCTTGGAAAACTTCGTTGGCAACACGGCCATGACACATTTCCATTTCGACGTCTTCATTTTCTGATTAAGTTCGCCCAACTACCGTTATCGTTGAGTATTTTATTTTTCCTTTTAATGAAATTAAACGGCACTTCTCCTGACTCTTCCTACTCCCATTTCGTCTTCGCTCGTAGTGGGCTCATTCGCTTGCAGACCCTGCTTACCTCGCCCGCAACATTCGCGTTTTCACTCACTCTACGTCATCGTCCGCCGCTGCCGTCATTTTCCAGTTATTACCTGCATTCCTGTTTCCAATGTTTTCAACTTTTGTTTTAATCGTCGCCAATAGCAGCGGGCGTATTTTTATTAAAAAATCTGTACATTTGCACAAAAGCAATAAAACCACCATCACGTGAATTACTTTGAGCACTTTAATCAAAGCTTTTTTCCAAACATTCACATAAATACAAATGGATTTTAAAGAGAAAAGCGTTTTTTTCCGTTTTTCATAACACTTTCCTTTCGTTTAATGTGAGACATGTTTTTCGGTGTCCGTGATTTCTCGTGTCGTTCAGTGTCGTGATTCAGCATGAACATTTGAATCGTCCCCCATTTCATCACATTGCAGCTCCCTTTTCGTCGCTCGTCAATATTTCTGCTATCTGAACCGCTCTTTGATTTCTTATTGTCTTTCGTTCTGCTTTTTCTCCACTCCGCCTAAACCCACGGGTCCAGCAATTTCAGTTCTAAGTGAAATGAGGTACAAAGGCTTCCAAAACTTAAGTTCGCAAGTTCGCGCAGACTCTGCTACGGCAGAAGAAGGTTGAAGGGATGGAAATTGACAGCGTGCTGTCACGTTTGTGGCATATGAAAAAATCCTGGTAGGTGCCGGGAAAATTATATCCCTTTGGCAATTTTCCGTCCAAACGAGATCACATATTCTCCCCACCGGACAGTTGGGATATAGTCTTATCAGGACTGACATCTGGCGGAGGAAGTGAAAATCACATCCAGGCGTAGAAAGAGACTCCCACGAGGCGAGCCTGCATGAAAGATCTCTACACCTGCGCCGGCACTCTGCTTCGAAGAAAGCGTGGGCGGCATATCCATACGGCATATCCTGTGGCCAAAGGCCGTCTTTTCGCGCCTATCTCATACGATATTAATATTAGTCACCACCAGCTTATTCACCTCGCCGCAGTGGATAGGCTGCACAGTTACGTTTTCTGCATCGCACTTGCCAGCCGCTATTACGACTTCACAGCTACTTAGCAAATAACTGATTAAATGATGTTTAAAACTGTATACTACATTGACAGCCCCGGCCAGGAATCTAACCCAGTGCCGCAGTGAACTCTCAGTTGCTCCACCGCTCGAACTACCGAGACATCTCTTAGAACAGCATTTCGGAGCATGCCAGTGATAATTCAAGCTGAAACCTTGCCGCCCTAGTTAGCTAATACAATTACGCGCGAACACCTCCCTCGCAATTTCCAGCCACTCACGGGCAAGGTGTATACGCTAAAATTATCACGAGCTAAAACGCCCCGAAATGCTGTTTTCAAAATAGTTCAAATGGTAATTCAAGAGGTAGAGCAATTACGCGCATCCAAGGAGATTTGGAAACGGTTCCCGTTTGGGAACTCGCATTACTTGAATAAATTAAACATCATTTAATTAAACAATCCACGGCCTATTTGTCCCCTTTCTCCCGTTGACTTCGTATGTCACTTCCTAATCAGCCTCCGGTTGCCACCCCTGGCTTTCCTGCTCTCTTGTAATCGCGGGGGCTTCCAACCTCTTAAAATGCTACGCACGCCCGCTGCCGCACGCCTTGTCACGCGCCGCGCTCCTTGCATCAAAATTACAAATGTCTGCACCATCAGCTGTCTCCGTCGTGTCGTCCATTCGGCCGCCGATCGCCTTTTCGATCGCTCTCTCCACGTGCTGGTTTTACCTCGTTTTTGATATCGAAATTTTGGGTTTCATTCTTTGACGTTAGACATTAATCCAAAATGTTGGCGCAATAAGATTTGAGTCCCTGTCTTTCTCGTCACCTCAGTGTCCTTTGCTTAATCTTGCCTTCCTGTTCACTGTCGCCATCTCAGTCAAGCGCCGTTACCTCATCCATTCCGTTCACGGGCGAAGTTAGGTTGGTGCTACCATTGCATCGCATCGAGGCACCCAAAAACGATTCACGCGCACCTCCAATAAAGGTGCAGTTCCAGTTCATCAATGTGTTGAAGGTATCCCGGGGTTAAAAAAATCTGTAACAAACTATTGGTCACCAGAATGTTTAATTAAGGTTATTCTTTACTCTTACTGCAATTTAATGCAGGAAAATTATTTCAAGCAATAACAACAACAACAACAACAACAACAACAACAACAACAACAACAAAGAAGGCCAGTAGTTGAGAGCGCGTCCGCGACGACGCTGTTACGCTCATCGCAATTAGATGATCTACTCGCCCGACATCTACCGCACGAACAGAGATCCAAAAACTGAATTTGTAAAGTTTTCGTTTGTAAACCAGCGATGTAAAATTGGCAACACTAATCAACGAATATTGCTGAGCAACTGGTTTTTGCTTGTTCTTTTTTTGTGTTTCACAATATGTATTCAATTCGTGTAGATCCCTCTTGTGTAATGTATGGACAAAACCAACGATGTTTAAAATATCGATTTTTTAAATATGATAAAATACAGGAAGGTTTCCCATTCTGTTTCCACTTTTAATTAGAATACTTAAAATACCGGCACATTTTATTGTGCGGTCACGAATAAGTAATAATATGTTAATAATATTTATCGAATGTAATTAAAAACTAAAGACACCGTGTTTGCTATTATTCCATTTATTCACTTTCATTCATAAATCGTCGAAGTAACTCGTCTTTTATGGAATATTTGTAAATGTTGGTAAATGTAGTTCGTAAATATTTGTTTAAAGTACGAATGCCTTACAGCACTATGTACGAAATCTTAATTTTGAAATCAATATTCAATACAGACGAATGTCAAAATACTGTTTAACGATATTACCACGTACAAAATCATTGAAAAAGATAACAAACCTTTTTTTGAACATATCGACGTTTCAAAAAAAATAAAATATATCGATCTGGAGGAAAAAATCGAAAAGAAAACATCGATGTTAATATACCGATGTTTCTATGGGGAAATATCGATGTTTTAAAAACAAACAGTTATGCCATCCCTAGTTCCCGGTGCGAATGCAGAGACGAATTTTGGAAGGGGAAATTTTGTTTCTTTTCAAAATCTTTTGGTCGAATGTGCCTTATTATAGAGTATGTAGAATGACGCAATCTTAACTGAGTTCATGTTGAGAAAGAATTTTATTCGTTTTAATGTTGAAACGAAAATATTTTGCTTGAAAGTTTCGTGACATGTTAATATTAATAGCGACTGAAAAATTTCGGGTGGAGAAGTTTCCCTCCCTGTGGGTCGGCGCCTGCCACTTCCGCCTCCTTCCCAGTCGCTCTCGCCCTCCGCGCGCCCAACATCGCCCGCGTCTTCGCCCACGCCGTGGAAGCGGATTGCTCCAGTGACGTCATCGCACGACGTGGTAGAGGCTGCGCGAGGGGGTTGGCGCGCCTGGGCCGACGGCAGAGCTGCCATCTAATTGAATACTTTATCAAGGGAGACCTGCGCGATAGCTGTAAAATGTGATTTATTCGCGGGGACTTGTTCGGGAGCTGAGAGGATTCCGAATCGTATATTTTTTTCGAGGTCGGCGAAAAGTCCAAGAAAAATAGAGAGAGGTGAATGCAAACACGTAATTTCGGAGATCCCGTCTCCATTTGTTAGAAGTTATTGAGGGAGTTTTAATATCACGTTCTGCTAAAACACTGAATCCCTTCGGATGTAAATGCCGCAAAAATGCATAATTTGTTTTCTAGATTTTATATTGTTTTTATATGATTTCATTTTCCTACTTACATGGTAAAAGTGTACAGAGAAAACCGACTTTAAGAATTTAAGGATACCACTTTTCATTAAAAAAGGTAATATCGTTTTATTCAACTGCTTTACATATTATTGGACCTGCGACTGTCGTAGAAAAACCTGCTAATGTGTTTCGTTTGATAAAATTTGCGATGTTTAGAAACGGTATCAACAAAAAGGTATCTACTTCACCAACAATCCAATTAATGATGTTTAGAAAATTTGTGGCGTTATAGAACCTTGAATATGAAAACGTAAACTGAAGTTTAACAAAAAGTCACTCTTATCATTCTGAAACAAACAAAGGCGAAATAGGTATCTCCTCATAATAAATGAGCACGTAAGTAATAATCACCTAGAGCCGGTTGGTTTTCGCAGTGGAGATAACTTATCACGCCCAGCCGTACATAAATGAAGTATTCGAATACTGGCCCACAATCCGAGACGTCAACAAACCGCAAAATAACAATAGAAGTACTTCTGCCTCACGCGCTTATACGATATCACATCAAACGTTTCCAGCGGTTGCGAATAGCCGGCGACTCACGGTCGCTGCTTGTGGCCAGACAGCTTCGAAGCGCAGATAACTTATCAGGCCGCGCCGCGTCGCGAGGAACGCGTGTAGCCCGTTTGCAGTCCCACTGAATAGCGACGTAGCCTCCTTTACAACTGGTCGTGATTTCTCACCTCATTCAAAACGTCTGCGACTGGACGCGAGACCTTTGCCCCTGCGAACGTCTCAAAGAGAAATATCGACGCAGAGATAAGGATGATGATGCTCATTTTCGAGGCAGTGCGGGCCCGATATAATACCGCGTCATGCAGACGCGTGGCTAAGATTAATGATGAGGGTGTGACGTTACCTGCCCTCACACTGACATCGCTAAATGAGAGGGGGAGAAAAGGGACGGATAATATCGCTGTGGGTGTTGCCGAAGTGAAATCGTTAGAATGATTAATTTGATAAAGAGAAAATCGAATTATTGTATCCTTATTTTAATGGAGCGAGCGATGACATCACAAACAGATGCAGCTCGTTACACCTGCGTTTCGTAAAATGAAACTTCCTGATGACATTGGCTGAAATTTATGACTGATTTCTGAACACGAAAGAAAATTTTAAACAAGAATGCGACGGGGTACAGAGAAGGGATGGTGATATTCGTATCACTCTAATGATTAATTCTGACTAAATGTCGATGAAACTAAACATAATACAGAACGTAGTAAAGTTTCGTAATTGTTTTGAGTTTTAGTATGTTACCGTTATATTGTAACCTTATTCCATTACAAAGTGAGGATGCACCATGAGTTGTGGTCCTGCTAAACACCATAACGGGGGCGTCATATTTCTGCGTCTTATCAGATGTTTGCTGAAATGTTTCCAGAAAATCGTCTCCAAAAGTGTTGCTTTAAAAAAGGCGCAACGTTAAAAATATAACAAAAATGATATTTCTTTCGGGAGCAACGACCCCTGAACCACTGCAGTATCTCTATTGCTATCCTATCTCATTGAGAACACTTGCACCACGTTATGCAACACTTGATCTGAAGTATTCAAGCTTTGTAAATCTGAATACCAACAACAGAAACTAAATATTACCGGCTGAGATGACTCAGTGGTAACCGTTGCTTCTGCAACATCATCTTAGGGAGGTGCTAGGGATTGTTCGGGACTATCTGGAGAATTCTAGCTGGGTTGATCGGCAGTTTTTGGTAGTTTCTCCGGTCAATTCCAGACGAATACAAAAATACATTCTCCCGGCGTCTCCCCGCTCGTCAGTGAGTTGGTGAGTGGTTGCAAATGCAATTCCAGTTATTCAATTATGTGCTTCTGTTGCATTTTTTTTAATTAAAAAAATTAACCAAAAGTTTAGCCAAAATGTATAAAAATCGGGGAGAAAATATGTGCCTCCGCGGAATGTTAGTACAGGGTCGCGACATTTTTTTTTAGTTTGTATATTGTAGGTAACGAGTATCGCACGTCGGATTTAAAAATAAAAAGTGATTTTGCGGGTTTCCAAGAAATCAATATTATAATCAGTCAGTGCAACGTCGACTCATAGACAATAGCTCTCTCATCGTTTCAATGAGAGAAGGCCTCGCCCGTCGACTGGTAACCGATCAGGAGGGGGCCATG